ACCAAGGTCGCCTCATGCAAAGGCCTTACCTTTGTTTTACTTTTGTTTTTGTTCTCTTATGGTCAGGTATAACCAACGTTGTGTATAATCTTGGAACTTGGTGCTAAAACTGTAAAATGATCCTGGATATACGTAGTACATAATGTAAATATTGCATGGTGTGAGTTATTTCATGTATATAAGAAATTTTTTTATTAAACCATGTATGCACAGCTCGTTGGACAATTCTCGTATATGATGCTTCTGCAGTTTGGTCCCGTATTATTAAATATGGTTTGATTTCTGACTAAGGCCATAGGTAATCTCATGATTACTGGACGGTTATGACTCTAATCCATAGGGGCGAGTTTGGGTCATGACACATTCTTTGCAAAATCCAACTTTAATTTCATGCATATCAAGGCCCAAAACCTTTAAAAACAACTTGAATTTCATATTTCTAACTTCAATTAAAGATTATAACTTCATAAACAAAATCCAATTTCCACTGAAAATATCAAAATTTAGAATAGAAATGTAGAATCATAAAACATGTAAGTTTGAGTTCCATTCTTCAAAATCATTGAGGTTCTCTCCAATTTTCATGAACCATGCAAGAACTCAAATGTGTAAACAAGAATGAAGTCATGCATGTCAATAATTTGAGCTAATTCTTTCAATTCTTTTCTTTTATGTTTATATATGTACATATGGGTTCTCAACTTGAAACTTGTCCATAAAACTCTTAAGTAACCATGAATTCATTCAATTTAAGTTTCAATCTTTTAAGATGATGAGTGTATAAGCCTTAATTTCATAAAATTAGAAAGGAATACCTACTTTGTTTGATGATTTGTGAAGATCCAAGCTTATCTTCTATGTTCCTCTTAAGCTCTTTTCCCTTTTTCCTCTGAGTTCGGATCCTCTGATGTCCTTTCCTGCGGGGCTTCCTGCAATGCCCCAAAACGATGTCTTTTTGGGGCAATTTTTTCTTTTTTTTTATAAAAAAAGTAGCAGAACAGAACCAAAGAGGAGACGGGTAAGAAGAAAGAAAGCAATGGCAACCCACACCACTGTGACCCCCATAGCCGGCGACCTCCGGCTTTCCTTTACTTACGTCACCACCACCTCCCCACCATCATCGACGTAGCCCACCTTCCCTTCCTCTTCTTCTTTTTCTTTCTCCTCTTTTCTTTCTCTAAAACTACCAATTCATTGACAACCATCCCCATAGCTAAGAGCCCCCTTCTCTCTCTCTCTCTCTCTCTCTCTCTCTCTCTCTCTCGCCACCAACGACGAGCCACCATCTCGATCTAGATTTATGGTTTGGCCACTTCCACTCCCTAGCTGCCACCGTCGCCGTCGCCCATGTGAAACCCTAAGACTTGAGAGAAAGAATTCAAGGTTTTGATTTTGGGGGGATGAATTGAGTATACATTCATAGTAATTGATAAAGAAATCATAGGGATGCAACGGAAATCATATAGAAATTGATAAAGAAATTTCTATTCACGTGTGATTTGTAATATATATATACATACATATGTATTGTAGATTTGTATAGATATAAAGAGATATATATAAAGAAATATTATAATTTATTGAAGTTGAATAGGAATGCAACAAAAGATGAATAGATTGCTTGCTTTTAAGATCTTTGTTGTTGTGCTAGCTTCACAAAAGTACAACAAAGTTTCTTCAGATCCGAAGAAGAGGGTTACAAATTTTTTTAAAAAAAATTTACTCAAAACTAAAAAACTATACATACATATATACATACACACACTAATATATATCTATTGTTGCTTGGTTTTTGTTATGGTGGTCTTGAAGATCGATTCTCTGTTGAAGACGATGATCAACAAAGAGAGAAAGAGCATCGACAGAGCTTGATTTTTCTTGTTAATTTTATTTGTATTATACTTTTTTCTTTTTTTTTTGAAATTTTGCCCCAAAAGGACATCGTTTTGGGGCACTGCTGGTAGCCCCGCAAGAAAAGACGACAAAGGATCTGAACTCTTCTTCTCTTGAGCTCTAGAATTCTCCAACAAAAAGCACTAATCTGTTTGGCATGATTGCTTGGGCTAATTTAGCCATATAAGACAAAATTAGCTATTTTAGCTAAATAGGACAAAATATCGCATCCAACCTATAATCATTTTATTTTTTTGTCTCACAAAAGTCAAAAAAGTTAAAAAGCCTATCACAAACGAGGTTTTTTAGCCCCAGGCTAAAATAACAAAAAAGTCAAAAAGTCAACTCACATCCCAAACGAAGGCTAAGTCTCTCTCTCTAACTCCTCTCTTTCTTTTATTAAGTTGATGAGTGGCTTAAGAAATGTAATTAATCTCTAATTTCCTAAGCTTGATTAATTATAATGTTTAATCATAAGGTTAAATTAAATTGTATCAAATTCACTTAATCAGAACCTAATTTAATCTAAACTAAACTAAACTTAGATGGTATTTGGGAAGTGGGTCTTTATGTAGGTTTTTTTAGATGTAGGATATTATTGAAGAAAAAAAATTTTGTATTTGGGAAGATAGTTGAGTTTTTTTGTGGTTGGATGTGATGTTTGTGAGAGAAAAAGTGAAATGATTATAGGGTTGGATGTGATATTTTATTTGGATGTATTTTTTTGATTTTGCAAAATTTTTGTCTTTTAGTGAAAAAAATGAGAAAAAACCCAACTACAATTCTTCCCAAACACCACCTAAGGATAAGCACTAATTACCTATCCAAACATTTAATTCTAATATATATAAATTACTGATTTAAACATGTTCAATTCATATCCTAACCACAGCTGTTCACAATAAGACAATTCAATTGTCACTTGACACATAATAACACATAATTAGAGAATCAATACAAATCATATAATTAACTTAAATTAATCAAAGAGGTGTTCGTCACAAAAAGGGTAAGAAGAAAATTTAATATAGTATTCTCATTTAATTTAAAAATAATTCTAAATGAACAGTAAATTATCACCTATAATCCTCTTTTCTTTTTAATAAAAAAAATGTTTAACGAATCATCACTTTTAATAATAAAAAAAAATAACGTTTCTTTCTAATTTGTTTTAGCTAAAGTCAATTTTTAGCAATTTGACCCAAAAATATTTTTATTTTTTTTATTTTAATTTGTTTAATGGACAATTGAGATTAAAAAAAATTAACAGGATCCATCATATTTGGCAAGTGCTAAAAAAGTCTAGATGAATTATAAATTATGACATGTAACCCCTATTTTTTTTATTAAAAAAAAAATAAATTTCACAAAAAATCACTTTTAACAAAAAAAAAAAAACATTTATTTCTATTTTATTTTAGTAAAAGTCACTTCTTAGCTATTTAAGTCAAATATTTTTTTATTTTTTTTAATTTGCTTAATTGATGATTGAGATAAAAATAAATAAATAAATAAAAATAAAAAAATCCACCATGTTTGGCAAATACTAAAAAATTTATTCATTTTCTTAATTTTTTTGGTCTTTTATTTAAAAAAAATTATATTAAAAAATATTATTGTTCAAGTCTTTATAAGTTGGAAGGATATAAAGTTTTTTTGTTTATAAAATTTAAAACTAAAAAAGAAAATAAATAAAAGTAAATTTTTTGTAATAGTGATTCATAATTTGAACACTTGTTTTTAAAACAAATTATATTTAGACTAATAATATTATGATGCATGTGAATATTGTCTCATTCTAGTTATAGTAATATAATTTGAAGAAGAATTTAAATTTAAAATTTTATTTATAATTTAATAAAAGATGCATAATTTAAAGAATGAATATTGATCTCATTCCAATTATAGTAACATTATTTAAGTAAGAATTTAAATTTGAAATTTTATTTTAAGAATATAAAATTAATTTATAAGCTAATCATATTGTGACATATATTAATAAAAATTAAACAAAATCAAAAAAATAAGGAAAAGAATTGCAACTTTCAATCTTAATGAGATGACAATGTTTTGCAATTATAAAAATATATAGATAAATGATTTATAAATAAATAAAAAAAATCATACATAAAATCATAGTGGCATTTTTTAAAAATTATAAATAATTTTAATGAGTCTTTTTAAGGGCACACTTTTACCCATCATTAGGTATGAATTTTTACACAAATTTGTGTGTATAATGCCACTTTTTTTTTTCCCTCTCTTTTTATTTAACAAAGAAAAATACCTTATTCCATTTTTTTTTTATGACTAACTGTTCAGGCTAACTTAGCACACCTCAAATAATACTCTATACCAATTTTTTTATGACAAAATGTCCAGGCTAACTTACGTGAACCTCAACTAATATTCTATACCATTTTTTTAATCAAAGGACCCCTATAAAGGATCCTCTCCAAATGGATCAGATAAATCGTGGGCATAGTTCGCGGGCGTGACCCAAAAGAACAAATTGCTCCTAATAAGATTTGAACTTAAGACCTAAAAAGAAGACACTCCTAAATCTCAAATTACACCCGCTAAACCAATCCCATAGAGTTTACTATATACCATATTATAATAAATAAATTACACTAACTTTTCTTAAGTTTAAAAAAAAATATATATATATATATAACAAATTCTATAATTTTGACATAATTAAACTTTCCTTTCCTTTTAATAAGGTCAGTGTTGAGTTGGGTGGGTCACCGATCTTATGCTCACCCCTAACTTGGATTGCACCTATAGATTGGAGACCAACCTTAGCCAAAATAAAAATAAACAAATATCAAAATGTTTGTATTGATCTTCGGGGAAACATTACCACCAAATTCTTGGGGAAAAAAAACTCTTAAAAAAAACTCTTAAAGTGAAATATGAATAAAATATACCTACATTTTACCTAGTTTCATACACATTTTTCCATTCTTTTTCCAAATCCCTTCTCAAATCGCCCAACCAAACACAACATTAGGGAGAGTAATAACCAATGGGATAAATGCACATCTTCAAGTAAATTTGCAAATGAATAGAAGAAATACCACATCTTCAAGTAAATTTGCAAATGAATAGAAGAAATACCACGATAACTACATACATTAGTTAAAGTTAAGCCAATTTAACAGGAAGCACATATTTAGCAAGATTCTAGTTGTTCTGTGGGTAATTGACAACTTTTATATATATATATATATATATATTTATTTATTGATTATCAGTAATTGGCAACTTTTGCTCAAGCAGTACCACGATAGAACTTCTACCCAGCGATATAGAATCACGCATATAATCTTGCAAGTCCTCATCACAACCTATTAAAATCAACTCACCGTCCTCATCTTCATACTTGACATAATAAGTTCCAGCCTTTAAGTTTAGCCTTTTAGCCACTTCTTGTTGCAACTGTACGAATCTTGATGACAAAGACAGACGAAATTTCATTGTAATACATTCTCCATATTTTGCTTTTATAGTCATAATATTCGCATCTTGCATCGTTGTATCATGTGGCTTGGTGTGAACAATAGTAGCCGAGGATTGAGTGGAAGGCAGATGATCAGAATTAACACATGGGGCAGATTCATTGAGTTGAGAGCAACCAACCTTGTTTATCTCACGAGGTGGCCACCTCTCTATACCATAAGGCACACGCTTCAATGTAAATTTGCTAACTACAAAAGGAAAAATCAAAATAGGAGAAGTTACTTTCTATTTGTTTTTGCAAAAAGCTCAATATATATTCTCTACCAGAGCCCATCTAGTTGAAATAACTACCGACGTTACAAGTAACATTACATTTTAATTTAAGAAAGTGCAAGCATACATTTGAGGCTTTTTGCAGCATTCTCAAGGCTCAATTCTGAATTTTGTAGGATATCCTCTATCGGAATTTTAATTTTAACTCCGATATTGTTGCCATCTCTTTTTGACGTCTTTACTGTGCCTCCAGATTTGTTGCCTTTTCTTTGTGACACTTTTACTGTGCTTTTCTCTTGCGTACAAGTAATAACAAAGTTGTTATGCTCTGTACAGCCAACATTGCTTCCAGTATTTATGGCATTCACTAATTGTTGATCTAATGAATCCACTTGCATTACCTCAACTTCATTTTGTGAGAGTTCCAGCTGAGGCAAGGATATAGTAGTTTGGGGAATTTGAACAGGATCAAGTTTCTCGCCATTTTGAATACTAAATTCTTCAACCCCAAGTTCTTCTCTAGAAGTAACCCTAAGACAACAAAAATTTTTCGTCATTGTTTCCAATATTTTCCTTAGCGAAGTACGTGGGTCTTCACTGGCATTGTTGCTCGTTGGCATAAAAAACTCTAGCACGTAAACATCATTTCCAATGCAATTGCTCTCCAAGCATATTGTGAAGCAACCGCTTAATCTAGCCTTTCATGCATAGTGTGCCAAGGGGTACTCACTAGGCTAAGTCGAGTTACATCCCTGCAGAATACCATATTAGTGGACAACAGTGCTCTCCCAACAACCCCCTTCCCTTTCTTTAAGTGAAACAAAGAACTGACCCCATGAAAACCATGACCGTATTTATATTTGTTGTATCGACAACTAACACCAAGGATGCCACCATCAACCAGAGCCCTGCATGTGCAACCTACCTTGCATGGGACCCATGCCTGAGCACAAGGTAAGTCATGAACATCACATACCATTTTCAACACGTTCTTGATTTCATCCAAGCCAATTGCACGAGCCTCATTTTCATCCTCATCCTAGTTTGAAAGTATTGTCACATCCAGGTATTGGTTAGAAAATATTCCTCACCATATTAATTTAAGAAAAATAAAAAACCAAATTTGACATTGTATTATAGTTTGCCACTTACTGATTCCATGTCACTGTGATCAAATCCAATTGCACATTTCAGACCTTTCTTCTGCAATGGAATGGAAAGATGCAACTGACAAATCTCATAAACTTCGAAATGTAGAATATTATTTTGCCAATAAAAGGAAACATATAAAAAATTCTATAATGGAAAAAATTCAGTCTGTCAGAATATCTATTATCATGTTTGGCTTGATAAAAAGGAAAGAATATAAATTGGAAATATGGAAATGAAACCACCAGATTCTCCAATTTAGGAGAATGGTCATTTTATTGGAAAGCCAAAGATTAGCCATTCTATTGAAGCCTACAATCATTCCAACCAACAAAACAATACCTTAGTGTACTAATGTCATTCTAGGAACCGAACTAGGAATTGCATTCTGATTTTAGAACACATCCAAACAACAAAATGAAAGAGATTTGACATAAGATTCTTATTATGCGCCATTGAATTGTTCTTGCCATCCAAACATGAGTGCTTTAATGCTGTGTTTGGTTGGGGGGTTTGGAGAGGGATTTGGAAAGGGAAAGGGAAAAGGTGTGTGAAACTAGGTGAAATATAGGTATGTTTTATTCACATTTCACCTACCTTTTCCGTTTTCCTTTCCAAATCCCTCTCCAAATCCTCCAACCAAACACAGCATAAAACACTTATGATCTAGAAAAATGAGGATGTGGTTTACTCTTTTGTGTGTCAACCCCTCACAGCATGGTTGACAAACACATTAACAACTGACAAATTTAACAGATTGTTTAACACTTTTGTTAAAGCATTATTTTTCTCTTTGAACAGGCAAACCCCACCAACTTATTACACAAACAAACAGGGATGGAATATAAAATTATTTCATCATATATACAAACACACAGGTATATACAATATGATAAAAATTATATATCATAGAAGCCATCTCTAATATGATGAGAAAGAGATCGCAAAATGAAAGAAAAATAAGATATATATATATATATATGCCGGGGGGGCATTTTATATATAAAATGATATGGCAAATAGCATTTTTCACATAAATAGGGGGCCATGCCTCATAATCTTCTCCTAGTCCTGTCCTAGCAAACAAACACACCACAGCACTATAGATATTCTAAGAGAAAGAGAGTGTAATGAGTAGTCAATATCAACAAGATATTGAAAATGCCAATTTGTGAGAGTGGGGAACTAACCTCAAAACATTCATATATTTGGTACCAACAATAGCGGGGGTCAATTAAATAATGATTTCCCGTTGCTGACACTACTTCAATTACATTAACACACCTTTGGGAGAAGATTCAGAGACCGGGAAAGCCAAAGATTGTCGAACTCCGCACCGTAAAGCATCGTCGCACTGTGGATACTCTGTGATAGAGTAATACTCCACATTGGGAGTGGATTCGGGGAATTGATGCTTGAACACTCTGCCAGGAAGCCCAATGTGTTGTTCAGAAGTCTCCCCACCCAAATAATGTCAAATTTATAAGCCATAGAGATCATTCTATACTTACAAAGTCCTGAAGAATGATTTGTTAGAGAGAGAGATTGGTTTCGAGTTGCAAGAAAAGACCGGCCCTCTTTTGTTGTTATGGGTGCCCAAAATTGAACTAATATCGGATAAGCAGCCCAATACCGTAATAATTCTGTAAAGCAAATCTCTGATGGTCTTGTTTAAGTTCGAAATATCTGATAAAAACAAACAAATTTCATGAGAGAATTGATTTCAAAACAAGGAAACGTTATTGATTTAAATTGAGTTGAAACTAAACTATAAAATAAATAAATAAATATTCATGTTAATACTATACCTATAATATATATTAATCTGTAAATAGTTGTTGCTAGCCTACCTATAATATATATTAATCTGTAGATAGTTGTAGCTAGCCTAGCACAGATAGACACCTTCTTTTCCTTTTGCTTTCAGCTATCTTTCGGTGGCCTTTCATTTGTATATTTCCTTTGTTCATCATTTTGTCTTGTAAAACATCTCCTATATAATGGAGGTTCCATTTGGTTGCAATATACATAAAAAACACAGAGCTAATATTTGCTCTCTCAATCTCTCTCAATTTCTTATATGGTATCAGAGCGCAGGTTTTCTGCCTAGCCTCTTCTTCCAACATATTTTTTTTCTGCAGATTGCATTTCATCTGTATCCATTTTTCGTCCATCTCTGAAATACAGTTTTCACCACACCAGAGCCTTCGTCTCCTCCGGACGATTCCAACGCCACCAATTTCAGCCCAATCCGACGTTACACGCGCTCCCACGCGCCACTTCTGTGAACGGCGCGTCGCCTGCCTCCGCCTTCCGCCTCACACGCGCTCCACGCGTCCTCCACACTGTCCCGTGCTAACGTGCACCGCGCCCTACCTTGCTAACGTGCGCCGCGTGTTTCTGACGTCAGCACACGTCAGCCCTCTCTGCTACCGTGCACTGCCTGGCCTATTTTGCTAACGTGCGCCGCGCCCTTTCTTGCTAACGTGCGCCGCGCCCTTTGCCTCTCATTTCTGTGCCTCTGTGGTCATATTTTCGGTCGTTTCACTCCTTTTCCCACTAATTTCGGCCTTCTGAATTCACTGGTAACCTCGGTTTTTTCAGATTCTACCTCCATTGTGCTATTTCCTCGGACTCCTCACCCCCTGTTGAGTCTCTTCCTCTGGCTCCTCCTCCTCCTGTTCGACCACACCGGGTAATCCAACCTTCTACTCGTCTTCGTGACTTTATTGTTGGTTCTACTGCTTTTTCTACTTATGAACCCACCTCCTATCGGGAGGCTCGCTCTAATCCTCTTTGGCAGCAAGCTATGACTGATGAATTACAGGCTTTGGACAAAACTCACACTTGGGACATTGTTGATCTTCCTCCTGGCAAGACTGCCATTGGCTGTAAATGGGTATACAAAATCAAAACCTGTTCTGATGGATCTATTGAGCGCTATAAAGCTCGCCTTGTTGCTAAAGGCTTCAATCAAGAATATGGTATTGACTATGAGGAGACCTTTGCTCCTGTTGCTCGTCTCACCTCTGTTCGCAGCCTTATTGCAGTTGCTACTACCCGACACTGGGATCTTTATCAAATGGATGTGAAAAATGCCTTTCTTAATGGTGTTCTTCTTGAGGAGGTCTACATGCAACCTCCCCTTGGGTCTACTTATCCACCTCATAAAGTCTGCAAACTTCAACGTGCTTTATATGGTCTCAAACAAGCTCCCCGCGCTTGGTTTGCCAAGTTCAGCTCTACTATTCATGACTGTGGTTTCACCTCCAGCTCTTATGATACTGCACTTTTTATCCGCAAAACTGCTCAAGGGACCACTTTGCTTCTTCTTTATGTGGATGATATGATTATCACCGGTGATGATGTCAATGGTATTCTTCATCTTAAACAATTTCTTAGCCATCATTTCGAGATGAAAGACCTTGGTCCTCTCAGCTATTTCTTGGGTCTTGAAATCTTCCATGATTCCACGGGTTCTTTTCTCTCTCAGGCTAAGTACACATCTGATCTTCTCACCCGTGCTGGTCTTACCGATTGCAAGACTGCCTCAACTCCCCTAGAGCCTCAGAGTCGTCTTACACCTCTTGATGGCACTCTTCTCTCTGATGCTACTCTATATCGTCAGCTAGTTGGCAGTCTTGTCTATCTCACTGTTACTCGTCCTGATATTGCCTATGCCGTCCATATTGTCAACCAGTTTATGTCGGCTCCTCGTACCACACATTATGCTGCATTAATTCGTATCATTCGCTATCTCAAAGGCACCATGTTTCATGGTCTTCATTATTCCGCCCGCTCCTCTCTCCAGCTTCGTGCTTTCTCTGATGCTGATTGGCCTGGCGATCCTACTGACCGCCGCTCTACTACTTGGTTTTGCTTTTTTCTGGGTGATTCTCTTATTTCTTGGTGCAGTAAGAAACAATCTCTTACTGCTCGTTCTAGTACCGAAGCCGAATACCGTGCCCTTGCTGATACTACTCAGGAGCTTCTCTGGCTTCGTTGGCTTCTTGCTGACATGGGTGTTACTTCCTCTGGCGCTACTGCCCTCTTTTGTGACAATCACAGTGCTCTTCAAATTGCTCACAATGATGTTTTTCATGATCGCACCAAGCACATTGAGATTGACTGCCATTTTATTCGGCAACACGTTACTCATGGTACTGTCCATCCCCATCCGATCTCTTCTGTTGATCAACCTGCTGATATCTTCACCAAAGCTCATTCTCCTGGCTGCTTCATTGACCTTGTCTCCAAACTCAAGTTGGTTGATGTTTGTCCTCCTTGAGTTTGAGGGGGGATGTTAATACTATACCTATAATATATATTAATCTGTAAATAGTTGTTGCTAGCCTACCTATAATATATATTAATCTGTAGATAGTTGTTGCTAGCCTAGCACAGATAGACACCTTCTTTTCCTTTTGCTTTCAGCTATCTTTCGGTGGCCTTTCATTTGTATATTTCCTTTGTTCATCATTTTGTCTTATAAAACATCTCCTATATAATGGAGGTTCCATTTGGTTGCAATATACATCAAAAACACAGAGCTAATATTTGCTCTCTCAATCTCTCTCAATTTCTTATAATTCAAATCTAAAAATAATGATCATAATAAATAAATAAAGAGAGATACGAGTAACTCACCGCCGTCAGGAGAGTATAAGGACTTTGGGGTTTGTCATTTTCTCTGCTCCAGAAAACCTCTCCTTTGTACAAAGGAGAATGATCTCTTACTGGCAACTAGTTCAGTTCCTTGTCCATATATTCCTTGAAATCGTGAGGTAAATACGACAAAAATTCCTCTTCTGATTTGGCCATTTTTCTGAGAAATGAATCGGGGACCTTCCAGTCCCAACTATGGTGTTTTAAATACAATTTTTTCAAATAACTATGAGCGTTCAAAGGGGTTTCTCTCTACCTACTGTCCTAGGGCTCAAATTGGGATACAAAAAGTGTCTTCAAAATGGTTGCGTTCAAAGGGTTTTTTCCGGCTCCTCCTCAACCATCGAGGAGTTCAAAAGGCTCATGCACTCTCTACAAAAATAACAAGTCCAGTCATGTTTGCTATCTTTCTTCCGGCGGTGGTGCTACGTGAACCAATTAATATTATAATATTATTATTGACTCTACTTATTAATCACATTATAAATAATAAAAATAACTTAAATTATGTTACATCATCAATTGATACATTAGTTAGTACACGATGCATATAAAATTATTCTTCTTCAAGTCCCCCCCAACACAGATTAGGTTGTATGCGGTTTGGCTTCTTTGTTTGGAATTTCTGAGCTTACTTTGAAATTATATTATTTAATTTCTTAGTTAAGTAAAATATTTATATAAATAATTAAAATAATTAAATATTTATAATTATATTTTAAATTATATTTATTTTTAAAAAATGACAATAAATATAATTTTAAGAATTTTTTGTAATATAAATTTGATTTAAACATATATCTATTAATATCTAATCATCTTACTTTTTTGAATAAATATTTCACGAGTTTTAAAAATGAACGGTTTAGATAATCAAAATCGATCCTACCAACTCAAACGTTCTCTAAAACTAAAATGACCGACTTGAGATAAGTCAAATCCTAATTATTAATATGATGTGATTAAATAAGAAAATTATTAGTATGACAGTTATTAAGTTGGACGCATAGAGGGTGTTTGGTGTGGATTTTAGACCACAGATTATAGATTTTAGCTTCCAAAAAATTATTTTAGACTGTTTGTTTAATCTTTTATTCATTAACTTCTAATTTTGTAGCTTTTTTTCCTTGAAGAAAAGTGGTTAGAATCAGAAGCTGCTAGGAGTAGCTTCCACGGTTGAGATTAACGGAGGGGATGCAAAATTACTTAAATGCCCTCGCCAATATCCAACTATTACCAAAAACCCAACTATATAAATCCCATTTCGCAAAACACTGTTCATTGCTCACTTGAGAGAGAGATAGAGGCAATTTCCAGCAGAGATTTCTGGTGAGCGCGATTTTCGGCAGAGGCAAACCAGAGTTCTCTCTCTCTCTCTCACAATCTGAAACTCTCTCTCCGTCACCACCGTCATCGTGATCTGAACCCTAACTGAAGCATCGTGATCTGGTCAGAGAACCAGAGCTCTCTCTCTTTCTTCTCCCTTTCTCCCTCACGATCTAAAACTCCCTCTCCGTCACCACTGCCATCGCGATCTGAAACCCTAATCGGCATGTTATAATCTGGTCAGAGAACCAGAGCTCTCAACGAACCAGAGCTCTCTCTCTCTCTCTCTCTTGCACGCGCGCGCACATGCATCTCCGGCATTGTTTCGACGGTGGCTAGGTCATTGACGACGACAATGGGCCATCTCTGGCCTGTACCCAATATTAATACAAAAAAATATCTATAATAACAATTTTTATATTAAATCACACTAAAATAATTTTTATACTGAATAACAAATAATATGTAATGAAATATATATAAAATAACAATTTTTATACTAAATAACAAATAATATGTAAAAAAATCACAACATTAATATAAATTTGAACATGAATATTAATTGGTGTTAATATTAATGAATTAATAAATTAAACAAAATTAACAAAGAAAAAAGAAAAGAAAAAAAGAAAAGAAGAGAAAAGAAAATAAAGATAAAAAGAAAAGAAAAAAAAATGTATTATAAATGAAATCACAAATTTTGTATATTATAAAGGCAAAAAGGACATTATACAACAAAAAATTATTTTACAACTTATTCAACCAAACACTACTTTGATGATTAAATCTATAATCGCACAGTTACACCAAACATGTTAACAACTTATATCTAAAGTCATAATCTACAATTTGTTAAGCCATAATCTATAATCACCTTCTCACAGCTATACCAAACGGGGCCATAAGGGCATCTCCAACGGTGCATTACTTTTTTCAACAAATTTGAATAAAAATTTGGTATAAACTCTATTTGATATCACCTGCTCCAACAGGCTTGTCACCAAATCACTGGCCGATCGGTCGGTTGACCAGTCAGTGCAAAAAATAAGAAACAACAATTTAAATTGTAGAACGCATTGCCTGTGAAGAACAACAGGCTAGCTCCAGCAGCCTCCAACAAGAGACGAAAAGAGAGATCAGTTGTAGTCAGGCTTTCATGGTTTCTTCAAAGGTCATCAACTCAGTTCCTTACTGGCCAGAGCTACCTGTAAACATGTTGGCGATGAATAATCCGAGTAGAGAGGAATATTTCAAGGACCAAACATCCATAAGGAAACTGTTGGTTAGTATAGGAGGAAGATTTCATGATGATGATCATCATGAACCAAACAACAACAGCACAAATTTTCAATACGTTATTGAAAATTCCATCAATACTTTTGCATCTACAGCCTCCATCAATTCCATAAACAGTTCTTGTTCTCAACAGCCAAACATGTTTGAAGGATTCAACAACAACTACCCAACTGAGCTAGTTAGTAGTGTATTGGTCTACAATTCACCAAAGCAATTAGATGTGTTGGAAAGTTTTTCTGGTATGGACATGGTCAATGGTAGTAGCAGTGGCATTATTAGTTCTGTAGAGAGTACTAATTGGGGGTGTTAGATATATATTTTTTATTTTTATTTATCTATGTGTATTGTAGATGTATCCCATCTCATTTTCTATACTTATCTTTGATGTATCTCTATCTTCTTTTTTACACTTATCTAGGTTTCTTCTCAGCCTATAAATACAGGCTTCTTGTATTTCATTATACAATTCAATATACAGTCTCCCTACTTTCATAACATGGTATCAGAGCTTTGGGTTCTCTTATAGCATTTTTTTTTCTTTCCTCACGTTTTTTTTTTTTTTTGGTAGATTGCTTCTGTCCTCTGTCAATTTCTACTGGTTTCTGCATATCTCGTCCATTCCTCTTTCAACGTTTGGACAATACCCACTTCTTCGTCTCTTCACAACAAAGCCAATGCCACCAGATTCACCTCCATCAGACAGCGCACGCACCCTTACGTGCCTCTCAAAGCCCAGCGCGTCAGTTGACGCCGCATCCACTCTCAGCACACTCCCACACGCGTCGTCTCAGCCTGCTTCCCTCAGCTTGCCCATCGGCTTCCGTATCAGCCGTCCTTCCGCGCCAACGCCTCAGTCGATCTGATGTCGGCTTGCCCATTGGCTTCCGCATCAGCTGCCTTCCCTTGGCTTCTAGTCGGCTTCTCTTAGTTGTTTTCCCTGTTCCTTAGCCGCTAACGTCAGCCCTCCTCAGCCACTGACATCAGCCCTACTATGCCACTGTCTCGCTGCTGACATCATCATAGCCACAGTGTTGACATCAACCCTACCTGTCCCTAAGGTTTTTCAGTCTTCTGAATCTGTTGGTGACCTCTGTTTTGGCATTTATGGATCATACAGAGAACATCCAATCTGTTTCTGTTATCCTTGATAGGTCTAATTATGTTAGTTGGGCTCAAGCTCTCTCGAGTTTCATCAAAGGCAAACACCTTTGGCGGATCATTACTGGTGCTCTTCTCAAACCCAACCAGAAAAGAGGATGAGACGGACTCTGCATTCGATGACTGTCTTGACGAATGGGAAAGTAAGAATTATCAAATTATCACGTGGTTCCGGGCTATCTCAGTTCCTTCCATTAACCTTCAATTTGGACGCTTTCAGGATGATGACTCCCTTGCCTCTCCTGCCAAAGCAATTTAGGATTTCTTAAAGTAACATTATTAGACCACTGGACATGCTCATCAAAATCAACTATTGCAAACTCTTCATCACATGCGCCAGGCATCCGGTTAGTCTCTCAATGACTTCATCTCCCAAATGTCGTCTATTTGGGACCAGCTCGCTCTTTCTGAACCTCCATGGGCTCATTCTGATTATGCACAGCTATTTATTACTTATCGGAATCATCAGCGCCTATTATAGTTTCTTATGGCTCTTCATAGCACTTTTGAGCCCGTGTGTGCTTCTTTGCTCTATCATTTGCCCTTGCCACTTTAGAGCAAGTCAGTACTGAGCTTCTATTAGAGGAGACTCGTTTTGGGAGTCTCAAATCTCAAGCCATGGATTCTGTTCTTGCTACGCCATCTTCTCCGAGTTCCTCTTCTTCACAGCCAATCATATGCAGTTATTGTCGCAACCGAGGCCTGCCAGCCAATCATTCTCTTGTTCACTGCCAAGTTCGCGAATGCTTGACTTGTCACAAGAATGCTCCAGGCCATCTCCAAAGCAATTGTCCTCGAGCTCCCTCTACTACTTCATCTAAGAAAGGGGCTTCTCGTTCTAGGTCTCAGTCCAAATCTGGCCACGGTTCTCGCTCTATTGTTGTTGTCTCTGAGGGTTCTTCTGCTCTTTCCTTCTCTATGGATGATGTTGAGTCTGTTATCCACCAGGTGTTCAAAAAATCTAGTACTCCTCCCTTTACTGCTCTTTCAGTAACCTCAGGTAACTCTCCATGGTATTTTGATTCCGCATGCTGTAATCACATGACTTCTGACTCCACTCTATTTTCTTCTTGTCATCATCCTCTTCTACTCCCACTATACACACTACTGATGGTTCTCATATGCCCGTTAATCATATTGGCCAAATCTCGACTTCCACTGTGTCTCTTTCTAATGCTTACCATATTCCTTCTCTTAAAATGAACCTTATCTATGTTGGTCAGTTATGTGAACTTGGTCTAACTATTACCTTCTCTGCTAATGGTTGTTTGGTGCAGGACCCTCAGGCGAGACAAATCCTTGGGATAGGCCGTAAACATGGACGTCTGTTCGAGCTTATCCATCTTCGCAGTCTGCACAAATCATCTCATGTTGCTGCTGCATCTACTATGTCTTCTTTTCATCTTTGGCATTGTCGCTTAAGGCATGTCTATTTTAATCGTTTGAAAATTTTAGTTTCTGGTGGTCAGTTAG